ATCTGAGAAGTCCAAAATTTCGGACTTATGAGCTATGAGGCATCGGACCCCTTGACACAAACACCTCATGATATGCCTAAAACTTGTATTTTACCTTCTACATTACCTAGTGCACCATCGTAAATGAAAAGTACATTCATTGTTTTCGCGTGTTATTAATAATGTGTGTCAGTCATTTTGTGGGTGCCTGCCCCTTTAAGATCGGACAATTGTCCTTGAGTGTCCAAAGGATTTTTATGTGACAAAATAAATTTGGGGGATTTTTATTTTGGGGAGCAAAAACATCAACAGAGATCACTTGGCACTTGCGACATAATGGCCAGGACAGGCCCCCCGCTCCCTGTACAGTAGCAAATAAAGAGCGTCCCAACAATAGGTCTGCAAATAGGAACCCAAAGAAGCACCGAGTAACGTGCAAATTTGCCGGCCCCCTTCTTTGACGAGATTTGTTGAACGTCCTCTCGAAAGTACCCTCTCATGTTTGGAAAAGTTGTTTAGCAGCCAATTAGGTAGATGAATGGAAAGTAACATTTACTTTTTGACTTTTGTTTACTCTTTAGCACCCTACCTGTTCCAGTTATTGATTTTGGAGGGTTATATAAAGAAGTTGTGTCTTCGAAAACGTTGGGATTTGTTTTCGGGTTTTGGGGTTTGGGTTATCAGTTTGAACGTTCCCTGTTCTTGAAAATAGCAGGGGGACTGGAAATTAAATTGCCAGTGCCAAATTAAAAAAAATCGAGTTCATAATTTTTCATCTGTTCTTGAAATCAAATTCAAAACACTGCGAATGCGATAACCAACAACTGTCAAAGTGTGCTGCTAGGCCTGCTGAATCCAACAGAATCCAACGGAATCCAACAGCAAAAGATTTATCATTTCCTACTCGGATAACGATGATTTTCACATGTTCTTCTCATCAGTTTAAATCTGCAGAGTTATAAGTGGCTGTAAAAACTGTCCTGTCCAAGATTTTGACCACACGGCCAACGTTTATCACACTTGTTGTGGGATAACCTTAAAGTTTTGATACCTTCAAACTGGAAAAACAAAACAGAATTTTGAAAATTGTGAGGGGCTTGCATGGCCCAGAAAGGGCTCCCTAAGAGTGCCACTGAAGAACTTCTCTTCCCTTTTTTGTTACAACGATTGACCTTGAACTTGCAACTGCAGCTTACGCTCAGCCTTCCGTGAATAACTGTTTCTTATTTCCGGGGGGTTATTTTTGTCTTGGAAAGTTTGTATTTACAAATGTACTGGTACAAGAAAGACACCAGACAAGCTGTGTGCAGTGTCAAGGGTCTGGGAGCTGATTTTAAAACAAAAGGAGTAGCCCTTTAATATCAGCAGTGGCCAGAGGGCTTAATAACCTGGCCAGGCCAATTTGTCTGGACACTTCAGGTGTCAAACATCTGTTGTCACTGTCCTTGATCACTGAGGACAAATTTATTCTCCTCCCCCCCCCCCCCCCCCCCCCCCCCCATCGAAGGTAGGGGTCATCGTGTGGTTGTGGAAAGTATTCTAGACAGACAATTTCAAATCTTCAATAGTTTTGTGGTTCGCCATATGAGATAACTTCAGCACATTTCATAAAATCTGTCTGCGACTGAGTACATTTCAAATATCATGTTTTTAGAAAAACAATAAGAACTCTGAGACAAGATGTAAATGAAATATGCTCGAAGTTAAAAATCTTGTGATTAAGTGTGTTATTTCTCCATGTTTTTTTTTACCCCCCCAAAAAAAAAATTGCACATGAATGGTTTGATAAAAAATCTCTTTTATTTGAAGCAGATATGTGTAATTCCAAAACTATAGTTTGACCAAAAAATCAAAGAAGAATGTGCATGCAGTACCTCGCTTTCCACTGTCAAGCAAATTTGAAGGAACATGCACAGCAGCAGTGTCCTATCAAGCTTATCAGGATAAATCCCAAGGTTAATCTAGTTACAGTAATCTCTACCTAATCACAGACTTCAATTGCAACAAATTTGCCACTGTGATCACCATAAGAAAACAATTAATCCCAATTATTGACGAGCCGAATGATGCACAAAAGCTTAGACTAGATCAAAAAGTAAAACAAAGAAACAGTTTCTCGTCTCTGCCCGCTTCCTTTTCTCCTGCCTGCCACCCCTTTTTCTTCTAATGTTTTTTTTTATTCACACATTGCAATATATTTTACAAGAATTGTCAATATATTGTCTTGTTATTTGTTCCCAACAAAATTGCTCTACATACATAGAAAGGGTTACAGCTCCTTGGGGCACAATTTTGTATCAGCAAAATAGCCAAAAAAACTGGAAGAATCCATCCCCTGTCTTTTAAAATCTGCCATCTGGGGGGAAGGGGGGGGGGGAGCACCCGTCTCCTTCATTCACAAAAAGCGTGGAGGACAAACTGTTTGTTTTTCTTATACTCAGTCTTTGTGGTGTTTTAATCATTAAACAATTCTTAGATGTGACTTTTCAACTTGATTGCACAGTTTTTTTCATTCTGACAGACGGCAAAAAATACCTGCCAGAATTCTGCTGAGGTTTTTAGAAGCGAGATATAGTCTGTGAGTGAAACACAGGTTGCATGTCTTTTGCGTAAGTATTTTCAAATGAAAGACATTCACAGCTCCCCCCTGAGATGTCTCTAGATTTACATGCTTCCATTTCCCAACCATCTGTACCCACCCCTCTTAAATCTATCCCAACAACCCTCTCCCCAAAAAAATCTGGAAGCAATTCTCGGTTTCCCCAATCCATCCCGTCTGCCACAATCCAAGAAAGAAATCAGAAGACACAAAAAAGAAAAGAAAAAAAAGCGAGAGACCGAGATAAGTATGGAATATGACAGGTCTCTATCGTCACCTCCCGCCCCCAGGGGCAGGGGGAATCAGATCTGTTCAAAATCCTCCCTGGCTTTACACAAAGACGCTCAGTGTTTGATCCCAAGCCTGGCCGTTACTCAAAAAAAAAAAAAATTGCAGAGGATTTGCAGTAATTGACGTGCGATGACAATATTTTTTCCTCTTCTTTTCCCCCCATTTTTTTCTCCGGTAGTTTTCATGGCAGTTGAGACATGACAAGGTGGTGAAAGCCCAGTCTTTCTCTGTTCTGTCTTCTTTTAGTTCAGGGTGCAGAAGTATAAACAGTAATTTCTTTGTATTGTCGGAACGTGCGAATTGCAAATCTGGATATTATACCGGTTCGGTCATTAGTGTTATTTAACTGCCGGGGAATACGATTGTTTGTGTGTTCTAGCGGGCTGCAGATGGCGTTGCGGTAATTGCGGACTTGCAAACAGAAATGTTGAATGTTTGCAACTTTGAGGGGTCGATGATGATACGTGTATATTTATTATTTCAATTTTGTTTTCAGACCTTAAAATGAATATTTAACTCGCATTTCCTGAAGTTACAAATATTTTACCACTCAGCAATTTAGCCCGTGGTATTCAATTGAAAATGCTAACTTACATCAATAAAAGTTTAAAATTGTGGTAAAACTGATGTAAGTCTTAGAAATTTGAATCTCCTCTCGTGCAAGCAGCTTTAATGCTCCCTCAAACTTTCTCCAGATGTTTAAGGAAAACTAAAACCTGCATGTGGAGCAAGTTACATTGTTTGATATATGTTCTCCTTTGTGCAAATGTTCCTTTGTGGCTGCTGTGTAGGGAATAACCTTTAGTTGCATGGTCTTTTAACCTTGTAAGACTGCAGTGATTATCTTTGCCACTTGTGTTGGACTTGAAAGTTTGGTAATTTTGTTACCTAGGAATTTTTCTTTGTGCAAATTGTTAAGCACTGCCGATACTGGTACATCGAATACCAGATTATTCAAAATATTTTGATATCGATTCACCGATAGCAATTGTTTTAAAACATGTCTTTAACTTGTGATAATCGATATATCAAATATTCTCGATATTAGATTTCCAATATATCGATTATTGAAATTCTGTTATTGACTGCTTATTTTCTCGTCTTTTTTTTTTTTCAATGTACATGCAGAACATATTTCAAAATTAAAAAAGGGAAAAAGATGGCGATCATAAATGGTTTGACTAGTCTCTTGACCCCAGAAACATTCAGGGGAAACGTTACAGAGATGATATGACTTTTCAAATTATCCCCAAAAACTTCTCCGATCACTTGACATCCTTCTTGATTGATCACTTGTCCAAGAAGCCTCTTCCAAGACTCACTCTCATCCATTGTTCTTCTTTAAAGACACCCCCCCCCCCCCCAATAATCAAACTCTATCTCTCAAGTTTTATATCAAAAACTCTCCCTATAGCCTCCGAGGTCCCAGAAACTCCTCGTTTGTTAAAACCCTCGGAGTCATTTAGAGTCACCCCCCAGTAAATGTGTCCCTACTGTCGTAATTGGGTGAGATTTATTGAGCAGCTGCCCCGTCCATATATTAGTTATGACAGGCCGATACTTGGGCAGCGGTAATTATTGTTGAAAGATAACCGCTTGTGTTTTCCAGTTCCCAATCTAGGATGTTTTTTTGTTCTTCTTTCCTACTGTCTGTTATGGCAGAGGTTTCCAATTTTAGCAAGGCTGTTTGAATGCTCTGGTCTGGTAGAGTGCTACTAAAGTGGGGATTGCGGGATTGTTTTTTTTTTCTGCCGTAAAATCAGTGTTCTGCATTCAGGGAATATTTGACTTGGTTGAATTAAAGGCCATGCATGATACACATGTACCAAGAAATGGAAAATACTGCCTTTAAAATATTCATAGAAATAAATGAGCTTCTTTTGAAATAAAGTGATACTAAGACAACTGTCTCTTTAAGAGCTCTGCTATGAAACAGAAAGTATTTGCATATATACATTTGTACTTAAAAATGAGGATTGTTATACGACTTCGTAAAATATTTTTGGTTGTGCAGCATTTTAGGGGCTTACCAGTTGTTCCTTGCATATTTCATTAAGAGGTGCAGGGATCAATTAACTGAATAGAATTGTTGAATTTTCATTTTGGTGACTTATGTTTTCTTTGGTTGCAGGAAGATGCTATGATCATCAATGAGATCAAAGATGACTTGCAGTCAGAGTGCTCCAAGTTTGGAGATGTCAAGAAAGTCCTCGTTTTCGATGTAAGTTTTGGAAGATGCTTCACAAAGTAGAGACACCTATGCCCATGAGTTGGGATGTGGAGAAGCAAACTTGGCCAGTGACGGTGATGGTGGTAATTGTGTTGGGGGGTGGTGGCGATGAAGGTGGTGATTATGGTGATAAAACAAACAATTTTTGATTAGGTCGAATAAAAAAAACGTGTTTCTCGTCCGGGTTTTTGAAAAAAAGGAGGAAGAGGTTTTTTTTTTTTTTTTTTTTTTTTTAAGATGGACGCCATTTTAAAATTTCCTGCAACCGTTGTTGTTTCCACTGTTCAAAGACACTTTTAAAATGAAGGACAAGTTGGACAATAGAACTGAACATGTTTACAGTGTAATTTAGAGTTGTATTGGTCTACAGTGACCAGTTTTAGATGCATTTGCTTTAACCATGGACTTTTCCGGTGTTTTTTTACTGCATTTTTCAAAAATAAAAAGAAATGAAAAAATCCAGGCGGCCTCGAAAAAAGGAAGCGGGCGGGGACGAGAAACATGGTTTTTTTTTTACTTCGCCTTACAGACAAGGACAATAGTTACAACGATTGAGACAATGGCAATGATATTGGTGATGGTGACACTGATAACAAAGATCACCGTTTTAGGTCCATGATTTTTGTCTCAATGGTGGTAATCCACGAAGCGGTTTAAGGAATGAAATTTGCTGCTGCTGGCAATGGTTGCGATATTGATGACAAAAGGTGACATCGGTAATTACATCGATAGTATTGAGGATAACAATTCTCCTATTATGACAATATCATGGTCACAGTGACAATGACAATGGTTGTGATATTGATGACAAAAGGTGACATCGGTAATTACGTCGATAGTATTGAGAATAACAATGCTCCTATTGTGACAGTATCGTGGTCACAGTGATAGAAATGACAATGGTTGTGACACTGGTGACAAAAGTGATGACAAAGATGCTAACAAGAAGATAGTCATGACAATGGCCAATATTGCCTTAATTTTGCTCTCTTTCTCGCAGAGACATCCAGACGGGGTCGCTTCCGTCAAATTCAAAGACGTGGAATGCGCCGATAAATGTGTGGAATCTCTCAACGGCAGGTAGGAAACCAGACCGGTCGAAACTATTTCCCAAGAATGTGTTCTTCATAAAACTTGACTTCCAGTCACTTTCTACTCTGAAATTGTGTGGAATTCTTCAGTGCCCTTTCCATGCAGCAAGCTCATGTCTACTTGTCGTTTGAGATTAGCCGTGCCGTTCAAATCAAATGAATTATCACAGAACACAGTTTTGACTGGAAACAAAATTACAAGCCTGATTCTGCTGAAGACGGTCTTAACAAGACGGTTTAACCATCTTAAGACATCCAAAAATCATGATTTAAACAGGTGCATTTCACAAGTTGGACCCTCTTTGAATCTTCTCAAAAGTTCTGCTTCAAAGTAATGGACGTAACTTTGCACAAATTAATAATTCTAAAAATTGTAAGACTTTGTATCTCGTTTCGACGCTTGTTGATGATTACTTTGGTTTCTAGCCTAAATGCAGTTTTGTAATAAACATATTGACGGACAGTGTGGATTTTTGGCACGGATCGTGATTTTACTTTTGACTTTCTGTGAGATGCAATGCAGGCTTTGGCTCAATCAAGAATGAACATTGGTCAACTTTTGATCCAAATAATGCCAATATGAATTGAGTTAAAAAATAAAAAACAGGGTCCACAACTGCAAGTTCAAATTGTGAATACTTCAAATCAGTTTGTTATACCTCTGTCTTGAATAATGTATTTTCATTGGCCCAGAACGATCATGTGTTAAGTTTATAAAAAGTCATGGCACACTCCCTGTGGGATATCACGTAACGTACGGTACGGTACGTACGGTACAGTACGTACGGTGTGAAACGCTTGTATCGTTGGTACCCATGCTATTTTCACCATGTTTTGTGCAGTGAACTAGCAGACGATCAGCTGTTTTGAGCACGCGACATGCATGTGAGTTGACGTTCAATTTTCATGATTGTTGTGTTTACTGCTGTTTGTTTTCGTGATTTTTACATCAAAATCCAAAGAATCCAAGACAGAGGTATAACAAAACAATTGTTGAAGGGGAACTATCACTGGCATGAGATGAACGCTGTCCTTTTTTTTTTGGAAGGTGGTTTGCAAAGAGGCAGCTCCTTTGCGAGCTGTGGGACGGTGTGACCGACTACAAGATTGAGGAGACGGACAAAGAGAGAGAAGAACGCCTCAAAAAGTGGGAGAACTTCCTCCACGACGACGACAAGACGACGGAATCAGGGAGCAGCGAGAAGCAAGATGCAGGGAAGGAGGGAACAGAAACGCAGGGGAGCAATGTCACCCAGCACACCGATGAGGACAAAAGTGCGGTTACAGAGGCAGGGAGCGACACAGCACAGAACACCGAAGCCGTAGATGCGACGTGATGCTCTGGGAAGTGGTGACAAGTTTCGTTGCAAGTGCATGTAGGTCTTTGTTTATACTAAAATCTAGCCAACCCAGATTTCATTCTCTTCGGGGGTAATATTTTTCTTCGGTTTGGTAGTAGAGGCATCTGAGAAATGCCCAATATTGTTTCAATTAGTACTCAGGCCGTTAATCATACAATGAAATACTGGTTGAGATATGACGTGTGATTTCACTGTGGGAGCCAACGGGCAGATGCAGGTCCTCTAGTGGCGAGTAAATTCTCCCCAGGTCAGGCTGGAAAGGAGGGGGGTACTGAACTGTTTGACATGGCTGTCTTAGATTTCGTCAGCTCCCAGGAAGCTGTAGGCGAAATGCCAGTGAGGTGTTCGTGGGGTGGGTGTAAAATTTACAAGGGGCTTTGGAAGTCACGTTACGAGACCAGTCACATATGTGGTCAATCAGTTTTGGTGTGACTTCCGGCGCGGGTCATCGATAAATCCAACCTTTTTGTCTCCTTTGCTTCAATATTTCCTGACCCTGTCTGTCAGCGCATGCCTTTTTCAACTGTTGTGTTGTTGGTTTTTTATTGCCTTCTGCTTAAAACGTAAAATTGATGGTTGTGGATGCTTCTACGAGTGCGCAAATTTGTTGGTGGATTTACGATGTCTGTGGCCCGAGTTGGGCTGTTTTGCCAAGGTGAAGTTTTTGGAATTGGTCAGATGCTTCGCAGCACATTTGTTTGATTATCCTTTAAGGGATTGTGCTTTCAATCCCCCTTTTGTATAATATTGATTTGTGCATACATTGTATGATGGGTAGGTCTGCAATCATGTGCCTTTCCGGAGCAAATCTATCAAGAATTTGTTTGATGACCTGAAAGAATTTATATTGGACATCCGAAAGCCTAACATCTGCATGTATCATTGAGTCAATAAGAATGATCTTTATGATTGGTATTTCAATTTTCTAAGCAGGGGCAGACCTAGTTTTCAGGAAAATGGGGGGGGGGGTGCTATAAAGCTGGGGGTGGGGGTTGAGGGAAGGCGTGCTGAAGGCTAGGGAGGTCCGTGGGCTTTCTCCTACATTGTACATTCTAAGGCAATTTGAGAATAAACTTTATCATTCCATTAATTATTTTTGGCCCCATTTTACTAGTATAACATTAGTCAGCAGCTCCCCCTCCCCCTAGATCTGCTACTGCCAAGCATATATGCAACTTTCAGAATTAGACTAGACTAAAGTATGTCTGGGCTCGGTCTTTCATTGAAATTTGCATAATTTCATTGAAAAGAAACGAAACTTGATATAGACAGGACCCTTACAGAATATTGCCAAAAGTTTCCTTACACATGAAACTATCATGATTTCGCTTTTTTTTTTGTGAAAGACAATGTCTTCCTCCAAGCGAGTTTTTGCAACCACTGCGATAAATTTCACATGTCACGATTTAACATTTCAGAAGATCAAGGATCAGAGCCCTAACTCATTATATCAGGTGTGGGTCCCTTGAGAGGTATAGGTACCAGACAAAGCCAAAATAAGAGTGTTGTAAATCAGCATGATAACCAGGTTAATTTGACATCTTGGGGCAGCACAAAGTGCCAATCAGAGATTCCCCCGTAGGAAAAGTCTGGGACCCATTGTCACGGAGCTGCTAGCAGAAAATATTGCTTAGCAAGTTTGTGCGCTAAGCGTAAATCAGCGGGGAACCAGTCGCGCGCAATATAAATTGCATGACATCTTGGCTGGTAACCTGTGTTTGCTAAGTACATATTTTTTGTGCTTAGCAAAATTCTGTGCTAGCAACTCACATAAATTGGCACCAGCCTAAAATCAGGTTACCAACCAAAGTGTCATTAGATGTGCATTGCTTGTAACTGGTATCCAGCTGATTGTTGCTTAGCGCATAAATTTGCAGTGCAATTTTTTGTCTGCTAAACAGCTCCACGTAATTGGATTGTAATAAAAAATGTTTGCTTAATCATGCGATGTACATGTACATGTATGTTGCCTGTGACTGTTTCTCAAATAACTTTTGTTCCGGTATGAATTGGTCCCTGCTGTCATGAAATTAATGGATGAAACAAAATGTTGCTGTAGTTTTATCGTACCGAGTAACCTTCCTTTAAAATGCGTGTTAAAATCATGTTATTATTGATTAAATTATCATTATTTCTCACGTCTCGAACATTTCTTTCTCTTCCTCAACTTTGTTTTTCACATTACTACCAAACTTTCCCTCAAAACCTGTCCATTCTTTCATCATTTTCTTCCCCAACTGTGCTTCCTTCTTTTACTACCAAAACTTTCCTTCAGCAATAAAAACTCAACTCCATCACGTCAAACATTGTCAGCCGACTTTTGACTCTGGACTCCCAACTCCCGACTTTTATGTCGGGTTAAAAACATCATCACCTTCCAAAGATGACACCGAGCATATAAATAATCTCACTCTCGCATCTGTTGGCCCAGTAACAAATCTTGAGCGACACGAGACTCCCTAGGCAGCCCCCCTTGAGCCCTCATTCCTGAAAGCAGAACAGTTTTCTAGTTTCGGACCGTTCCATGAGATCATTTTTGATGTCACTTCTGGGATCTCCATGTCCTTTCGGTGAACATTCGTCGCTCCATATTTATTTCGGTGCAGTCGGGACTTTTTTAAAGGCAGCATGTGCATGTAGATTATGATGAAACTGTTGCTTGACATTTCTAAATATCCAAGCAGAAGCCAGCTCAACTGTCTGTTGAAATTAGCAGAAAATGCCCAGTTTTCTTTGACAAACTTTTGTTTAAGTTCACGGGTACAGCAAAGTCTGGGTTTTTTGGGTAGTAATGTTGGGTTTTTTTGTAGTGAGTACTGTTTTTGTTGTTGTTATTGTTGTTAGTCTTGTTTTGTTGTTAATGTTGTTGTTTTTAGTGTTGTGTAAGGCATTGTTAATGTTGTGGGTTTTTCCCTTGCCATTTTTATCGTGCCATCTGTGTTTTTTTCAACTCGTGGTCATGTTGTATACCCGCTGGTGAAGTGTATGTATGTGTTTGTTTATGGTGTAAATCGAGGACACACACGTGCAACATCATTGATGAATTGAGGACAGGAACCAAATCAAGGACTCCTCCATTGGAAAATGTGAACACTGTACACAACCAATTAATGAGAGCTGTTGTAAAAATGTTAGAATATAAACAAAGGAAAAGGGAAGAGGAACAATAAACATAAACCATAAACAATCCTGGGTGTACATGTAAGTGTTTATAACAATGGTCTTGTAACAGAAAGTTAGCCGGGTAATTTTCGACCAAAATTTGTTTAACCATATTTTGTTTCTCGAAAAAAGAGTTCAAAAGTAAGAGTTTCACTGCACAGAATTGATTGTCTGTCATGGGCCATTCAAGTCCAAAAACACTTCACCCTGAAAAACAACCAAATTGTTCTCCTTAAGAGAAATTGACACATGTTACAAAACAACAACAATAACCCACTCTACCACTCACTAAACCCCAAAACAAGCACTAACCTTGAGACACTTAAAATTCCTCCAAGATTTCCTGGCCAAGTTTGACCTTGACAAGTTGAGGGGTTTTATTTTATGGTCTCCGATTTAAAAGGCTGACATGACATTCTGTGCATGTTGTCTGCTTTGATTGAATCGTTTCTTGAAATCTGAAAGGCTGGACACAGACTGGCATACTGCAAAATTGTCTCATGCAATGCATCACTGTATGATTACAGTTATAATGATTGAGTTTGCAGACCTCGTTTTCTTCAGGGATGATTGTCATGACTTTCCATGATGTTTTGAAAGGGGTATTTTATCAAGTTTTGGAAAGATACATGTATATACTCCTCCCAAATCCCAGAGTTAACCCCCCCCCTTCTTCCCATAAAGGTAAGGTTTAGAAACATTTGAAACATGAGTTTTTTGGAAAGCTTGATTTTTTTTATTGGAAAAATGACTCCTAATAAAGGGGCAGTAGGAATCATGCTTCGGTAGAACTTTCAAAGGGTCTACCTAATGTTACAATTTTGCCGTCGAAATTGCGGGCTGCACCTTTAAACCTTAACCCATGTTGCTCTGTTTCGCACTTGCGGACTGCACCTTTAAACCTTAACTCGTCTTGCATTGTTTACAACAAATCTATCCAACTATTCGTGCCTGTTTCCAGCTCTAAATATGGGAGATTTATCACCGAAAAGGTGTCAAAATGCCTGGAATGCGCTGCTTACTTGTCCTGTAGCTAAACAGTTGACCTGAGGGGGTAGTTGGGGAGAGGTTTTAAAATAAACAAGAAGGGTTCGAGCAAATTACTGTCCTGAACTTGGCAGGCATTGAGGGAAGTGTTGGCTACTTTGATTAAGAGCTCAATTCGGGATTCTGACAGTGATGAAGAGGAGTTGCCGGTTTATGACTTGTACCAAATTAGGCTTGATTTGGAAGAGACTTTTTGTTTGCCACACCACCGCCACCCCACCACCACCCCAACCCCACCGCATCTCCACCCCAACCCCCACCCCACCCCCAAATTTGATTACACATACAAACAAATAATTTTTTTTTTTTGCCCCAACCAATTAAATAAAGGTTTTATCCTTTGCATGGTTGTTTAACCCCTCCCCCCTTTTTTTTTAATCGTGGACTGACATGAAATGAGAATTTTAAGTGACAAAGAAATAAAATAAAGCTGTGAAACTTTTCACAAGTTTGGGAAACTATTTCGGAATTTATAAAATTGAAGGCATAACCCCGTATTTCATCTAAAATACATTAAAATTGCGAGATTTTAGTGTACTGAATGTTTTTTCCCAAAATGGTTATCAAAATACCAAACATTTTTGAAGGGTTTCAAAACATTTCTAGTTTTCCCCTTTCAATTTAGAACATCAAAGTTGAATCCCTTGTGTCATTGTGATCATCCTTCCCCCTAAAAAAAAAAAAAAATCATCAACTAAGGCTGATCTAAACTCATTCTCAGACTCTGCTTTCTGGTTTAATGTTAGCACAGAGGGTGAATTTTGTGATGACTCTAGGAGTATGTAAACACATCTCCTGATGACATCTACAGAGAAATTGTTTTTGTCACCCAGCCCACACGTAAACAAGATGCCGTGTATTACAAATCCAGCTCCCTGTATTCCACTCTGCATCTGGAGAGTTCATCATTAGATTGTACACAAAAACAGATAGATCTTGGTCTATCAGTTTTCTAAATTAGGTTCCGGTCATCATTTGAGTCTGTACACATGTAATTGTAATACATATGTTTACAGTGTATACAATTGTATACAATTGTATACAATGTATACAATTGTATACAATACGTCTTTATACAATGTATATGTCCGTATACATGTTTGTAATTAGGTTCCAGTCATTATTTGGTATACCTGCAATTACCATAAACCACATTACGTTTACACGTAGCTATCTTATAGTTATATCAGAGGATTATGGCTAGTAAAACAATTTTCTTTTTTTCTGTGTCTTTTGTTTCTTTGTTAATTTTTTGTCATGTGTGGGGCAACAGTCTGAGTATCAGATCAGACATTCAGGTGTGCAGAGCCACACGAACGAACGTCTCATATATCTGAGCATGCAAATTTGATGCGACCCTGCGCATCAACCAATTGGAGTTGACTTTAGAAACTGTGGACTAAATTGGTCCATTAGGCTGCCATGTTTTTGTAAAGCAACGGGTTAGGGAAGACCTGATAGAAGGCGCCCGTTGAATGGTCACAATCTGGATGTCAAGACGCAGTCTTGTTTTGCAAAATAATTCGCCAAATCTGCGCAAATATCATTCGTAGATGCTTGTGTGCAAGCGGCTATTCTGAAATGGTTGGTTGGTTGTATACATTGCATACAATTGTATACATTGTATACAAATGTATACAATTCCATGCATACAGACTCAAATGATGACCGGAACCTAATAGCTCAAAATGGTATGTTAATGATCTTGAATAGTATAATAATGAAAGTATCCTGGCCAAGAGTTTCCAAATGCTTCACAGCATGTCATGATCCGTGATCGTCCACATTGTCAATCCTATCAATAATGTGGCTAACATTAATGTTAAGATGGTATCATAAATTGCATGCTCCGCAGATTAGGCAGATGTTCATGTGTCAGTTACAAAAACCTCATTATTATCACAGTGATTAATCGACTGGTAAGACTAGTTAAAATATTGAGGATATTTTTGAATGTGATGTTTTTATTTGGTTATGTTCATTGTATGGCAAGACCCAAACCACATAATTTATTTACCATATTACTTCATTGTTCCGTATGAGGCTATGCTCCAATTCTGGTGTCGTTATGTTTTAAGGGTTGATTTCTTTGATTCATGATTCTAGTTGCTCATGAGTGTCTCTAGCCGATTGGTGAGGGGTTTACCTTACCCCCCAGTCGTGCAAATCACAAGGCACTATAACAGTCTGCGTCAATTCACAGCCCCCGTACCCCAAAACAGATCGTTCCTGGGGGGCTCGTAAGGGTTTACCCAGTCCCCACGCTCCCCCTAGGAGTTTCGTATTCCAATCAGAGCAGCACAAACCCTCACCCAATACACACACAACACCCCCACACACCACTCGCACATAAAAGTCTTGTCTTGGTCTCGGCAACGGTTGCGTAAATCAAGCGATTAGGACCGGTTTCGGCCGAGCTGCACGTGTGCTCCGACCATAAATTACCGACGAGTTGATGAATCAAAGAACTCCCCGGTTCCCCGTCAGCCCGGTTGGCTTTAAGCTTTACCACGGTAGGCTGTTCGGTATGCGACCTCTGGGCACCGGCGGTCTGAAGAAAAAGTTCTTGATTACTCCAATTTTTCCGGGCTTTTTTTTCATCCTGTGATGCGGTGGATAGAACTTGATGGAAAGAATTTAATTTCTGATTGGAAAACGACCATTTGATACTCTCAGAAGTGAGGCAGATACTCTGCGGATGGGGTATCTTGTAGTCATGAGGTATTTTGTGAAGACAGCTTTCCTTTTGAAATGTTCTTGTTGTGTTTTATGTGCTTGGCTTTTGCCTAATAACCCATAATAAATTAAGAAATACCTTGAGTTAAGTTATGGCCCCTCTTGTAACAACACAAGGAAAACTTACATTAAATGTAGCACCTATCTATGTTCGACCTACGTGTACATGTACGTGTAAACCTGAGCTGTAAGAATTATTTCTGTCTTTGAAGCTTCTCGATTGTACTCAAAATGGTGAAGTCACAGAAAAACCGGTTAAGATGATCAACTTTGGCTAAATATCAGACAATCCTAAGGTTGTAATGAGTTTTGGTAACAGGGAATTGTTCTGTTGGGTGATGGATTTAAGGTGATTGTCAGGATTTAAGAAGTATGCAGTGTCCTTGATTTCATGCCACACAGAAAAGTTGTAAGAACAGAAAACGTGTGCTTAATATTTAAGCAGGAATCTTGTGCAAACAGTAAGCATATTTCTCAGATGTCACATCGCTATTTTAAGCAACATCTTCCTCTTAGTGAATCTGAGGTCATAAAATTGCTGTGATTTCTGCTCAAGGTCTTAGTGAAATAGACAGTTATCAGAAATGACGTGCTAAGGCGTACAATGAAAGTAGGCTCTGTTTGCAAGTTGAGCCGTTTATAGTCAGGAGTAGCAGTTGAGGATGGAGAACATCTTACCAGCTTCTAGACCACTGTACCTCTCTTCCTAATATCAACCATTTTGGGGCACGATTTATGAACAAAATTTGATTTCGGCGGTAGTGAGCTAAAGCATGCGCCCTCTGAAACAGGTGCGCGGTTTGATGAAGGAAGCCGCGCCAAACAAGAACCGTAAATCAAAACCCATTCAGTTCTACACTGACTGAAACCGGTCCATTCAGAAAGAAGTGTCCAATTGGTGTTTTTGGGGGACAGGTTTTGCACGCTTTGTTTACGCAAACCAAAGCGGCAAATGAAAAATTGAATAAATCACAAGCCGGAGGTCCTTTGTAAATGGAATTAAGGAAAACACTTCATATGACTGAATATATTGGGGGGTAATGAGGTAGAACAACTGTGTAAGTTGCAGCTGGTGTTTTACCTTGTGGCCTTGGGCCAGGAAGCTTATTTTAAGGACGGAACTGAGACCTGTAAGTTCACATTTTACCATGAGAAAATTGGAGGGCTTAGAATTGAATTTGTTTGTTTAGATGTCTAAAATAAAAAGTTAAGATATGTTCTTTTGCCTTTTTCTAGGGGGAGGGGAAAGATATTTATACAAAAGAATGTGTAGTGCAACTTCACTCGCATTTGGGAGAATTTATTTCTGAATGCACATCTTTTCCACAAAATGTTTTTGTCCACTTACATTCAAAACAGAAGGGAGACCCCAAATACTTTTCATCAATAATAATAATAATATTTTGTTGTCATAAACAGGGATGTAAGTCCACCTGTGTTTGACTGATATAATTTCATTATTTTTTTCAAATTGTAAATAACATACTGGCATACGTAATGTTGGAATTACCTAAAAGATCCTCAGTCCAACTCCACCCAAAGCTCAAACCTCTCCACCCATTTCAGATTAGCAAATGGTGACAAAGTGTCCTGCCCATGGACACACACTGCAACCCCACAGGCTGGACTCGAACCCCCAATGTTGGAATAACCTAAAAGATCCTCAGTCCCACTCATTAAACCCAAAGCTCAAACCTCTCCACCCATTTCATCTTAGCAAATTGTGACAAAGTGTCCTGCCCATGGACACACAAGGCAAACCCACAGGCTGGACTCGAACCCCCAATGTTGGAATAACCTAAAAGATCCTCAGTCCAACTCAACCCAAAGCTCAAACCTCTCCACCCATTTCAGATTAGCAAATGGTGACAAAGTGTCCTGCCCATGGACACACACTGCAACTCCACGGGCTGGACTCGAACCCACAAAATGCAGAATTACCTACAAAATCCCCAGTCCCACTCATTAAACCAAAAAACCCAACCCTCTCCGCCCGTTCCAGATTAGCAAATTGTGACAAAGTGTCCTGCCCATGGACATGGACACACACTGATCCCCACAGGCTGGACTCGAACCCACAATGTTTGGAATTACCTAAAAGATCCTCTGAGTCCCACTCACAAAACCCAAAGCCCAAACTCATTTCAAATTAGCATCAGGGTAAAAAAAAAATTAAGCTTCCGCAGAAAATCAAGGTCTGAATAATAAGTGAAATACCGATCCAAATTAAACCAATCGGGCTGCCTCTAATTTTCTAATCATGACAATCAAGGTGATGTTAATCAGATCTGAGATGCCTCACATTGTGCTTCCCCAGCGCAAGTGGGCTTGATCCTAATGATGTGGAGTTAATTAATTGAAAATGTGAAGGGTTTTTTTCTTCGGTCTCTCTTATCATTAGTTTGTCAGTAATATGGCTATGTGCCATTTGAAATAGCCAGCGGGCTGTGTTGACCCTGTGGGATCACTTTGTGTAATGAGGTGTCTGGGTACTACGAGAATTTTTTACAACCAAATGTAATTCAGGATTATCTATCCAATAAGAACAAAAGACACTCAAAACTATGTGTATTTTTGTAGCTTTCTGCTTTGAATGTTTTTTGTATTTTAGAGTGTTTCTTCACAGTTTTTCTTCACAGTTTTTCTTGTTTTTCTGTTTTCCTTCAAAATACAGGATTAGATGGTACATCCTGGCTGCCTATAATGCCTAAGATGCCAAACTTGATGTGACATCTCCAGTGCACTTGCAGGGGACCAGTGATAATCTTCACTTGCTGCTTATGTGGATGGCACTAATAACATTTGCTCACTGGTAGCCAGAGATCTCTTAATGCCATCCTATGGTTGCAGACTAGTAAATAAACTGCCATAGACCCCCAGTGATAAATGCGCCCACTTCTGAAATTCAGGAAAAAATACTCTCACAACTCTCCAAGGTGTTTGAGACACACATCAAATTAAAGCTTATTTCACCATCTTTCATTTTCTGTTCAATTTGCAGTGGGTTAACCATGACTTTTGGGAGAAAACCCCATCCAAAGATGATCACCCCTAAAAGTAGTCCTAAAAACCCATCACCATTTTGAATAATGTATGCCTGTGCTCCATTGCAAAATTGAACAATTTTAGAGCCCAATTTCATCGGAATTTCACAGAAATACGAGCTTGCAGTCCTGTTCACGGCTTCCACCCTTCTTTTGTACAAACCCTCAAGTTCATGGCCCACAAAATGCTCTAATAGCAAAGTAATTGAGGGCGTGCAAATCATGATTTGGCCGGCGTAAGCAATTTCGGGCCTATTTACTGGCCTGCAACCCCATAGAGGTCACTTTGGGTCAGGGTTTAACGGTTATCCATATGAGGTCATTTGAGGTCAACTTTTGTTCGTCACTGAGATGCGATGATAAACAAAACCTGGTTCTTTATAACATATAGGACACCAAAGTTATTCTCACTTAATTCATTTTGAATTGAGGTGGCTTGAACTCAACTTCAGGCCATCTAAAGGTTAATCTGAAGCCGTTGCATTTCCCTGGCATCTTCCAAAAGTTGATTTATTTTGGTTTGAAAGTTTAACCCAACATACTGCTCATGATGCTCCCAAAACTGACCAAGAGGTATTTTCCTATAAAAAGAAAAACTAAAAACCAAAGCATTTTCTTTATTGTAGATAGTGTCAGATATTCCTTTTGTATTTTGCCAATGTCCAATTTTTTGGTTTACATAAAAGACTACCATTTCCTAATTTGGAAAGTATACAAAAATCTGTTGTGAAATAAAGGGGAAAGGTATGATTGATGATAATCATTGTATGTCTCTAGCCTACGTCAGGCAGACTTTTTAGATTTGTACATTTTATGTTTTTTCTAAAATATAAGGCAAGGAATTTGGGTTTCAAAATGTCTACTTTTTTTGGAGTTTCCATGCACGTGAAGCCATCTTCATGCAATCCTCGGTACCATTCACATGAACATTAGTCTGTAACATGTTAATGTATTTCTTATTTGACTGTTTTCATGTAAAAAATATCTTTGGTGTGAAAACTTGCATCCAGGCACAAAAGTTTTTGATTTGAAATAAAAGTCTTAAGAAAATCCTTGAAATCTAAATGTTTTATTTTATTCATTGCAGAGTCTTTAGAGCTTAATCAAGTCCCTGTTAAAACTGTCCACTTTAAAAGTAGAACAAATTATATATTTTGTTAAACTGTTACACACCAGAATATAATTATTGGGGGAAATGCGAGAAAATGGAAATTACACTGGAAGACTGTTCCGGGGGGGGGGGGGGTGGGAGGGATGACGCTACGTGAGAAGCTGAAGGAATATCCTCGAGAATTTCTCCTCACTTAAGTAGGCCTACATGTAGTTATAGAATTGCATCGAGATGGTCAAAGAAGTAGCGAAAATACCAATACAAATGCCATTTCTGTAAGAATGACGGTAATATAACCCATCGTCCACTTGCGCTTCCCTTACCCTATACCTTCAACTATAATTGAAACTTTGCGAGAAACCCAGAAAGCGCGCAGACGACATCTTTTTAAACCCGCCAAAAAGTCTACACCAACTTTCTTCCCCCTCCCCCCCCCCCGGAAAAACAACAACGGAGTTTGGTACCTGCACTTCACGTCGTTGATTTTGAACAGCAATTAGTTGACCGTGGGACCTGTCGAAGTTTTTTGGTACGAACTTGAATTTGTAAGCCTCGCCGAATGCATCAAAATAAATTGGTAAGCAGAAGATTTGTTTGTATTTCTTACAAATTAAATGTGTAAATGTGACATTCTTCGTTACATTTTGGAGACGGTGCATTTGCAGACATTAGTGTGGAAGCGTAGTCGCAGAAGCTGACCAAATTCTGGGGTTTTTTTCGCCGCCAATGTACACCGTGTGTAACATTTGTCGAATGTTGATAATGATGTAAAATATGGCTCAGCGTTAATCAGTGGTATATTGTCCGCCGCGGTAGGAATTTAGGCCGTGAGAAACATGCGACGGTTAATTATCGCAAAGCCAGAATTAATACCACATCGTTAGGATTTTTGTGTAATGAGAACAGGCTTGCCGGCCACGTGCATGGCCAACGCATGTCGGTGTGTGAAGTAGGGACAAGTATAAGACATAAATTAGATTAGGATTCCTCGAAATCTTCCTACATTTTGGTTTTAATTACCTTGATGTTTACGACATTCGGAACTTCTTGACCGAGGTCCCACAGCACACTTGTATAATTGTATAATAACTTTAAAAAAAAAAAAAAAACCCACAATTTGAAGAAAAAAAAATCAAGGAACCTCTGTTGTTTTTTTTTGCCAGAGTAATTCAATATTTGGGTCAGTTAAAATTGCACTTAGGCCTATACATGCATGTTAATTGTCAAGGCTTTAATTTATTTATATTCACTTACATTCACTTCAAGTTAATCATACAGAACGTTTATCAGATTTTAGAGACCGTTCTCTCGGCCTGTTGACTCCCTTATTACTTGTGCATTGTCTTGTATTTGCTGTCTTTTTATGTCGCAATTAAGGGTGCACAAAGCCCTAAATTTACACAACCGATTATGAAAACATAGAATCATCAGACATCCGTGATCTTTAAAGCAAGCAAGGATTGCTGAAGCAAACGCAATTAACAAGCGCCAAGACACCCTTAGCAGTTAAATAATGCATTTGTAGGGTGTCCAAGGTTTGTTATTGGGGTCCCGTGTCTGCAAAATGTCAATGTGGTTATTGTTAGGGACAATTGTCTTCTCTATTTCGAAATTTGCGCAATTCTTGTTCGTTCTATCCAAATCTTTTCTCGGAGTTGACATTTCCTCCTACGACAATTGTGGTGGTTTTTTTCACGTCGTCGTGGGTTGCGACTTGAAGAAGTAATTATTTACAAGTTATTGATTCATTAGTTGTTGATGTGTTTCTTATTTTGTTAATTTGTTAATTGCGATTCTTTTCCCGCGTTGTTACTTAATACGGATGACTTAAGTCAATGGTCATTATTTTGTTATGAATGGAAATGTTAACAAAAAAGTAACAGATATTTCTACATGAATGTGCACAAAAAGTAATTTAATTCTTCACTGTTTTGAAGAAAAAAAAAGATGTCCCGTTATCTTAATAAACTCGGGAGGAAAAAGAAGTGTGTAATGAACTAATCATGAAACCATGTTGATTCAGCTAAAAGTGTTTAACAGCTCATTTAAACGTTTAATTGTCAATTTGTGCCACCGCCCATCACCAGACAAAAAGGGGAGCTTGTAGGTGCTCTGATTTCCATTGACGTTAAGTGCACAGTGTGTACCTATACGCTTATTGTTGAGCAAACAGTGAAAGCGGCGCACTTGTTCTGTTGTTCGAGCAAGTGAAACCCTATCGCGAAGTCACCAACTGAACCGAAAAAAACCAGCAGCCTAACTGAACCGTGTAGTGGCCGTACTCCGCGTTGGTACCCGCCATGAACACTTTTTCCCTCTTTTGTGGACTTTTGTTGTGGAGAGCTTGATGTTTTCCTAAAATACCACCCAGTTGGTCGAAAGCTGCAAATTGAAACCGCTGTTATCGAAAGCACTACACATCACGTAATAAAATTATGTGGCCTTTGCTTATTAATAAAACGTTTTCCGCATGTTGAAGTTTACAGAATTAATGAGTGACAAAACTAGTTGTGAGAAAGACAGTCCATATCAGGTATTAACAAAAAAAAACTCGTATTCTGACGTCAAAACTGCATAAAACTGCAGTTTGAAAACAACTTTATGAACATAATAATTACTTATCACATGGCTGTTTTTGTTATGCCTTTATACTTATAGGTCTATGTGTTCCATTCTATGGTCTATTTACCCTCACTTCGAAGATTCTGTATAACACGTAACAAGTCCTACAACTGCAGTACAGTGCTGTAATACACGTACATGTGTACTTTGAAAGATTCTTTAATGACCTTCAAATTCACTTGATCACATCCGTTAATGACTTGGGCTGCGGTGCCCTTTAACATTTGTCGACAAAATGAGAACTATGTTATGACGGATTTCCTAGTCAGTTGACCCCGTGTCACTTTATCAGTTTGTCTCCCCGCGGATGAAAGACGGGCGCTGATTCGCACGGCAAAATAAAGAGATCCAACTCCACAGACACATTTTTGCTGATTGGACAAGTAAAGGAAGTCGGCGTGAGCCAGTGACCAATCACGAGCAGTAGTGGGCGTGGTTTCGTTGTGTCTTACACCGCCTCCAGCGCGCATATGCACTGCAAACTTTTCCTTTTCATTTGGTGTAAAGTGAAGCGACGGTATCGGTATCAGTCGGTACATGACATCCGGGGCAGCGTGTTTACTGGGTTTGTTTTGTCTGTGGAGTGGAGGGCTGGAATTGCTGATTGCGGAGACAACATCAAAGCCATATCCTTCTGCTTTGGACTATCTAGCTGCATGTTGTTCCGGTCCCAGATGTGTTGAGAATGCACGCAATTCACTCCACGATCTGATGAAACCGTGACTTTGAAAACCCGCTACAAAGGAATTAAACCAACCGGAGATCAAGTATTTATTTCCACCCGTGGAGTACTCCGGTCCAGTCGCGCATTTGTATCGAACCGGGTCAAATACTTGCACTAGTTTCCAAACAAAGATTCTACGATTAGAAGCTACGTACGGGACATTTTTGCGTTGGATCACCGTTCTTTACCAAGACAAAGCATTCATCTTTAACACTACAGCTGAACATTTCGAGGTATCTCTGTCTTGGTAAACAGGTAGACACCAATTGTTACAACACACGTGCACTTCCTCTCCGGGAAAGGGCAAATGCTATCTTGACCGAGTTCATCCCAGCTCAACCCATACTGTGGAAGGTTTCTTGGGTGAAATCAGCTATCGCAAGGCTTCTTGGAGAAGTCGGTGATTACGTCCGGTGTTTACCTGCAAGTCGTACTATCAAGGATACTTGGTATTGATATATTTTTCTTGGAGTATTATTTGAGGGAAGACAGGATGAGCTGTTTGGACGTGATGTATCAGAGCGCCTATCAGCCGTATCAACACTACCCATTCTACCAGCGTCACTTCACTCAGGTAATTACACACTGCAAAAACTGTAGTGTTAATTTAACACCATTTGGTATCTGTACAGGACAACACCAGTAAAATTTAACACCAGATGGTCCTATATAGATACCAATGGTGTAAATTTAACACTGCAGTTTTGGCAGGGCATAGAGAATTATGTAATCGACTATAGTCGTCAGACGCCTATTTCAGTTGTGTACAAATAATGGGGTATCCTCAAAAATTTCGATGTATTTTCTTACAAATTTGGAAAGGTTACCGCTTCCTCATTTCCCACATTCATGTTTTGCAGCATAATAACTAGTCAACATTAAAGTTATATATGAAAGTGGCGTGAGAATAGAGCTTCTTTGCTGATTGATAAATAATGTACATAGTTTTTGTTTGGCATATTATTAAATGTGGGGAATTTATACACCCTCTGACCATAGTGCTATTATTAAGTCAATTAGTTTTAGGAGATTTGAAGTTTTGTCCCACGAAAGGTAAATTAAAAACTTCCTCTATTTAATACCAGATAATTTATCACAGTTGACCTTGGACGACCAACGTAAACATGAGGACCCGCCGAACGTAATACTAGTAATAGGACCGTTCATGAGGCCCTGAAAATAAATCAACGTTAACCCAAAATTATATCAAATTTTAAGACACCATTTAATTTCTTCAAAATGCATTTTAAATCCTTTTGTTTTGGTGAAGTAGCCTTACATTTGATAAGTTCAATTTTGAAGAAGGTAACTTCATTTGGATATCTATCGTGTTGGTATTACTTTTAAGAAAGCATAGTACCAAGGTTGCACGTAGAAAAAAACATCGAAAATATCTAGCTCTAGACGTACAGAAACCCGATTATTTCAGTAATTCTCTGAATTCTTTTCAAACTTTGAATATTTGAAGTGAGTGAGCGTTAGTCATTGCTACGCCATATGAAAGTGTGACAAAATCTTCTAGTAATAGCTGGGATAACCGAATTCTAACATGTCTGACATTTGTGGAGTTTCGTTTCATTCTCATTGTCACATATTCTACAATTTTGGCAAACCAAGTTTTAACAGAGCTAAACCTCTTGGAATTTTGTCAATCCTGCCTATGTTTTTTTTTCAAATTATATGTTCTTACCCCCTTTTATTATTATTTTTGTTTTAAAGAACAGTGATAATTCCTTTGGTCGAAATTTTACTTCAATGAAGATATACGGACCACTGGCATTAAAGCCATTTTAATCAAATTTAAGCTACTATTTAAACAGTAAATTACAAATTTACTACATGAAAAAAATTACGAAGCCTGAATGTTGAAAAAAATGGAGTGATTGATGTTTTCCCATTTATATATAGGGTCACTATCTGGCAATGTTATGAAAACATGTTTTCTCGAACATGGGGGAAAAATGTAATCATTTCGTAATGAAGTCAACAGATGCTTATTTGTTCAACCAGTTCGTTCAACCTCTGATACATTTCGTTAAGTGAAGTGTGTCCGCATGAAAGGCGCTAGTCTGGGGCCCCAATCATTTGCATATGAAAGGCGATAACAAATCTTTGGAATTCATTAGATTCCTCTCCCTGTCGAACAGGTGTTGAAGCATTCTTGGTCTGGACATGACATGACAACATATAACTCTTGAAGATGAAAATATCTCCAGGTACATATGTGTACATGACTTTACGTTTCAGTCGCAGAGTTATCTTGTTTAGCCCCGAAGCTGTATACACTTTAATGTCATCATATGGACATTCCACGTGTTGAAGATTTAGCAGTGGCATACCCGTTGTCGGTAATGCCTAACGCATGTGCTGTCTGGGACGGCGGAGGGGTCGGCACGTTAATATGTCTTGAAGATTCCCACAATGACCGGAATAGCCATGATGTAAGTGTCTCACGCAAAACAGAATTAAACCCTTACTACTAAACCTCCACGGAATCTATTTGGGATGAAGTACCAAATGCTACAAAAGTATACTTGGTATTTCGAGGTGAAGTGCCACATGCTACATAATACTACAATATTGGACTATTACCATAGGCTCGAGAACTGCATATTGCAAATTCTTCCAGTAAATTTGTAGCTCGAGGGAGGTAAGGGTTAATTAGCCTGTGTTCATTTCCCCTGATTGCTTGGATATTAAATTATCTGATTATTTGTGATTTTTGATATCACAGAAGTTTGGCCACTATAAGATGCAAGAGCCCCCAGACCATGAGACGAACTACACCCCTCACACTCAGTCGGTACCCCCAGCCACATCCACCTCACCCTACCATCACCCCCACCATCATCACCACCACCATCACCACAGCTCGCCAACCACGGGGAACAGCTCCGCGAACCCCCACCAGTCCAGCGTGAAGAAGGAGGACAAGCCTACCGTGGACGAGGGCGAACCCACGGTCGAGGCGGAGTACGTCAACTCGCGCTGCGTGCTCTTCACGTACTACGCCGGCGAACTGAACAAAGTGGTCGACGAACATTTCAGCCGGGCGCTGAGTCAGCCGAGTAGCTTCCCCTCAGACGGACGGGTGGGGGTGAGCACAGGGGACGGTCAGGATAAACAAGGTGAAGGAAGCACGTGGAACGGCAAGAATGGGGGTAAGTGCTACGTATACCCTTCGCAATTCCAAGAGATTATTGTAATGAATTTCATGCCTGCATGAAATTGCATGAAGGTTGGTATATTGCCTAGATTTCCTCGTGAGCTTCCAGCTCTGAGGTCAGGGTTAGAATCCCACCCATGCGCGCGCCCATTACTGAATCCAGACGAAAAGTTAAAATAAAATTACTGCAAGGAAAAGATTATGACCATTTTTCTCCACATTGTCATGGTCACGAAAATACCTTCTGTTTACATTTGTAGTTCATTCCACGTGTGAATTCTTGAGATTGTTCAGACTATAGGCATGTGATGTAGGCCAGCATAATAGCATATCTGCTTTTCAGACATGTCAGAAATCCCCAGTAACTAAAGACAAGTATGTTGGATGGCTATCATTTTCTTGCGTCTTGTAGGTCGTCCTTAAGGAAGTAACACATGGAATTCAGCCACCAAAAATGTAGAAATCATATTGAAAAATACCAGTTTTGATGATAAATATGAGCATATCTGTAAAGAACCAATAATAGATGGCAACGTCGTTAAATTATATCCGTCAAGGAAAATGAAAGAATGTATAGTATCCAGACGCCACTTCTTTGGTTATGTACAAAATCTATGGAGAGTTAAGACGTATTTTCTGACAAATTTGGAAACGTTTCTCAGTCACAGATTCATGTCTTTTCAACATGTTTGCAATGACTGACCTTCATTGAGATGAAATATGACAAAAAGTGGCGTCATCAGGATGAAACATTGTTCCCCGTCAAGTATACTGACCAAATTCTGGAGGGCCCACTGCCCATTTAAAAGGACGGTGGTGTTTTGACCAGCTTCGCGAGCAGGTATATCAGTTCCTCCCCGTCTCCTTTAACGTTTCTCCCGGTTGAGGTCTCGCGTGCGGTCACGGTCAACTGAAAACTGCTGCCGTTTCCCCCTCAGTCTATCTGACCTGGTTTCGTACCTTCAATCAATTTGGGAAATATTGAATTTGACTTGTCAACCGATGTCAAGACGGTTCAACCCCCAGAAGAGGCAGGAATGCGGCTAAATATGAAACATATGGTGCTGTCTCTGTGAAGAAACTCCAAGCCAAAGAAAAAAATCTTGACATGCCTGTCTGTCTTTATGCTGATGCTTTCGCTTTGATTATTATTGCTTGGAATGACTCTATTAGCTGTAGAAAGGAAAGCCGTCGTGAAAAAATATATTGTGGAATGCGCGTGCGGTTTTAATTTGGTGTAAGACAATATATTTTCTCTCCTTGTGATATATTTTATGGAGTTGACCTCAGAGGAAGGTCAACAATAAGAGGACAGCTAGGGCAATGCTTTAAAGAAAAAAATACGATTTTCAAATTGCATGAACGTTAACCAAACTCGATATAAACGTACGAGTACAATTTATTCATGTCTCAAAAGCTTGCGGATTTCGCAGGTAATTGCACCATGCATGGTGCAATAATTATGGCTACATGGCCATGGAGCGCAGGGATTGTATGTGGGCGTGGTTTCGGAGAGGGTGGGACTGAGGTAGATTAGGAATAACTAACGAATGTGGTTTCCATATGCCATCTGGGAGAAGTCCATGATATACGATTACGTAGATTATGAAAGTCAATACAATAGGCATACTGTGAACATTAGATTCTTGCGTTGTTGGATATCAACGAGTATTTTAAGGGGCGTGTCAGTTTTAAGCGGGAGCCTGTTGTGTAGACCTAATCCGGAAAGGGGATTTTCCCTCCCCTATCATCTCGAGGCGAGGCCTCTTCCCTTCTCAAAATGTTGTCCTTGTTATAAAATGTACCAGATTTTTTCCATAACCCTTTAATAAACTATGTTAGCTTGGAACATTTCTGGATCCTATTAGGCCCTAAAATCAAATAACACATTCCTTTTAGAAAAAATTAATAAACCAGTCCTACACCTGAAACCTAAACTTCCAAGGGGTATCAACTCCCATGTAGAGTAAATGGGTTCTACTTCTACCGTCCTCAATCATACAAAATCCTCCAAAATGTACCGATCTATTTTCAGTGTGGAGGATTCAAGATGCTTAAAAACCTTATCAAGGTGAATGTCCAGTCAATCCCCTGGTAGCCCCTGTCAGTGCATCAGGGGCCGACTTGACAGATCTTCGCTTCACCGTACCCGTGTAGCTGCTAATTCCAGAGCGCGAACTCCTGACTCGCCCCGGCTTGACCGCTCTAGGCCCCCAAGACCTCCTTGACAGCTGGCACACGACCACAGCCGCAGTTAATGCCAAGTTCATCGCTAGATAAAGACCGAGAACAGGTGATGGAATGTCTGCGGAACGAGGCACCGTAGATGCGGCTACTGCGTAAAGCTCGAGTCGAAAGACAACCCGTGCAAGCCTCACTATAACAAATTATGTTTTAAGATAAAATCAGAGTTTGGCATGCTTAAAAAACCTTATCAATCAAGGTTTTTATCTTTAATTAAGAGCGGAGATCAAACCTTGAAGTTGGGGTTAAATAACTGACATTTTAAAGAGGATGGTTCGGACATTATGCGGGTGTTTTTAAACTTCGGGTTCATCTAAAGCTTCGGCTCCGTCTCTATAGCTCCGGAATATTTTAATCGTTTTATTGCATGCTCCAACCAAACGAGCACACTCTTTAACGTTTAGTTTATTTTCAGTATTTAATGTTCAATTGAATAAAAATAGACCCGATACACAGCCAGAGTCTCACGCAACGACCGTAAAATCATGAAAATGTGCCTGAAGCCTCAACTTGAAACCGTACCGATGTTTGAAAATCTAGATGTACGCCATTACTTAGTGGCCAATCTAAAGTAAATCGATCCTCAACGTAACGACTCTCCAGTTTCGTCTAGTTTTTACAATTTTCTTTCATAGATAAATTCTAGTCATTCAAAAACATTCCTTATTATATTCATTTAAAAAAAAAATGACAGTTTGCAGGAGTGAATTTCAAAAGTTAAACTTAAAATTGTGTCAAACATAGTTTACTATTGTTTTTGGTTTATTGAAGTGAAATTATCACCTTGTAAGAAATCTAAAATTCCTTCCGTTTCCCAAAGAAAGAAGCTGGAATTGGAATAACTTCGCCATTTAGTTTCCACATGCTCGCAAGCGATGAGTGTTCGTAATAGCAGAGCGCTCGTATGACAAGCGGCACGCAGTTAAATTTTTATAGTGGCCGTGAGCCCGGCAGCGCGCACGTAGTTTACATTGACGAAAATGTTCACAACTCTATGAAAATAAACATGCTCCAGAATGTCTCCCCGACACTGATGGAAATAACGGGGCGTCAATTAAAGAATAATAGTTATCACTGTCGCAGATTTACAGGTCTTGAAAAGCTGTTAGTGTGAAGGGGGATGGGTAATTCTCCCCCGTGTAAATCCATCGTCGGAATGCAGTTGAGTGCGTGACATTTAAAGGGGATTAAAACTTGATTTGCTGAATCGAAGAATCGTATTGGTAAATGATTTGTCGTGGACCAAACACTTTGGGAATAACAGATTGCAGCACACTGCTTATACCAGTTGTGAAGCATGAACAATATAATTCTGTCAGGCGCATCGATCGTTTACGGATGATTTAGACCTTTGTGAAAAAAAATTAGACATCGAATTAGTATAAATAGTCTAAATAAACAGAAATACTTCGCATTGTTTTGGAGAGTTCCAATTGATGAAAGGTACCTCACGTTGTTAAAAACTTTTTGATCCACTCGTTTAACACTTGGACCGGTCTATTAATCGGCTATGCCAGGCACTATAATCGGTATTAAATCTCTGTAACTACTTCATTACACTTTTATCCCTTACTAAAACAGACATGTTTCCGGGGATAAATTCTCTCATAATTTTGTGGAGGTCCTCTTCACCTTGTGCAGCTCTGCATAAAATTTCAGTTGCTATACTGTATCAGTTTTGACGGTGATGACATGTAAACTAATGATTGTAGTCACTCCAATCAAAAGGCAAGACAATTAGCCAATTGACTTTAACATTTTTAACAAATTTTTACAAATGTCTTGAAATTTTGTCAGTATAAGCACCCGGAGCAGTAGGCCTAAATTGACAATTAACCTGAACATATTAAACTGGTTCATGTGTCTGTTTCCTTCATATAGTAACCTACACCATCATGCTAAAGTCCAATTCTATTTGGACTGAAAAAGTCTGTGAAAACGCATTTAGTGATTGTTTTTAATCCCTTGTGATTGCCCTTGTTGTTTATAAGCGAGTTCCTGGGAGGTTTTTAGCCCAGCGTGTTGACAGCGAACGCACGCCAAGACTTCGACATATGGGTCGCGTATGACCAGGTTTATTTGGTTATGACAACGTGTCATACAAAGCCTCATAACTGAGAACATCTAGAGCTTGAAACGCAACGATTTTTGTGTCAATCTTCATTTTCCCTTCGGCATTTCCTATAACCCGTCCTATAAATAAAGACATAGGGCCTATAGTAGCGATTAAATTGAATACTTTGGAATGTGTAATGTTCCACCTATTTTTGCCAAGTTCGGGACCCTTCACTAGTAGAGTTTCAAAATAGTTTTATTCTTGGGCATCTAACAACCATGCATAGAAAAACTACCAACTCTGAGTATACTTGGCACATTCTTCCATAATGTACAAACAATTTTAGTGAAGTTCACTTTTCTCACTCCGAGGCATTCAATATATTTTGTCTGAAAATAAAAATTAAACTTGTTGTGTGTTCAAGTTGGACTCTATAGACGTCATTATGAAGACGGTGGACGCGAGGTTTTTTTCTTGTTTAGAGGACCATGTATGAACATCTAACTATCGTCCCTTTGAGAAATATATGATGGGGCGACGAAGAACGATTTTGGATGCAGCATCAGGCTGATTGGGAGATTGTAGCGCTTGGTGCAGAGGGGAATATTAAGTGATGGAAAACACTTTCGGGCTTGCTAAGAAAATAATTATAGCGGTGATACAATGTACACTCTTCTCTTCCACAGAATCGGTAGTACCCCCGATGTGTCAACGAGACCTCCCCGCCTCCTTCTGGAACAGTAACTATTACAACCACATCAGGTACCCCCACCACCACGCCCACCACAGCACCCCCAGCAGTACCACCAGCAGCACAACCCAGGGGTCTACCTCAAACTCCGCCCACCACGAGCCCCTCTTCACGGACCCCTACCCCTCACCCCTCCACCACCGGTCGGTTCACCACCAGCCCGACCCCTGGCACTACCCCTTCGTGTCCTCCCAGAGCTCCTACACCCACCACCGGTCCGGGATCCACGACCTGAGCTACCCTGGGATGTCTACGGGGGGAAGCGCCTTCAATCCCCGGTACTCGTCCCTTCTCATCCAGCCCTCGGTCCGGCCTGGGAGATTACCTACGATGCCGGGCCAGTGCGACTTTACCAAGGGAGCTGGTGAAGGGTGGCCGGCGGGATACTCGCACAGTCACTCGCAACAGCTGTCGACGGAGATCGCTTCCTACGGAATGGAATCAGGTAAGATTTGTCCTGAATTAAGCGTGATTTAGTTCCAAGTGAAGAGTTTATTTCCAAAAAAAACGCGATTAAAACCATTTTGTTACATTTAAGAATTCCTCCGTCACCTGGCTGCCCAAAGTCAGTCTCGACAGGTTTCACACAATTTAAGAAATCAATAAAGTGAAAAATAAAGTTTAGAAACAACTTCTGTACTGTTATATTTCTTTAAAGTTTCAAAATCGTAGAAATTTTTCACTTTTTCAAATTTGATATATCGCATTTGGGAAATAAACTCTTCAGTAAATATAAAAATATGGACGAGTTTTCCTCAGTAACATTTCATAATCTTTGCAAAACCACTATTACTTTCGAATCCACACCGAGTTTCGTCTCAAAAACGTCTTCACACAATCTTTGCATAATACTTAAAATTAATATGTTTAATCCATAAATATGAATAAAAATGACACAGTATCAAAGCCTATTGTGAAGCAATATGTTACTGAAGGGAAAGGGGCGAATACAATAGGCGTACATTAGGTCCACCTAGAAATTTATTGAACATCTGAAGTCACATCGTCAACGGTTCAACGCCAAACTATATTACGTTTGGCAAATTGTTAATTCGTGAAAGCCTATACCATACAGTGATACACGCACATTGTATGACTAGTCTCACCACAAGCGGTGTTCTGTGATTGACTGCTGAAGCCAAATCAGGCAAGCTGTTTTGATATGATAACCTTGCCTGCAAATCATAAACAGGCTGAATCACTCCAGGAAACCTCAAATCATCTATAGTTTAGAATACCTCGCCAATTTGAGGACGACATTGTTGAGTAGCAATATCCCCCCTCAATGCTAGCAATATATACCAGCTATTGCGTGTCGTCGAGCAAATCGTTAAGAGGGATTTTATGTCTTTACGATCCTTGGACGACCGTGGGAAAGAATGCGCGGAACACGCGGGGAATTCAACACGACGACATTGCACGCGTTCCTCGGGAAGTTAAACTGAAGTCGACAATGAAAGCGGTATTTAAAACCTCTCTGTTCTGACACCGTTTCGGATTTCACTCCTTGATAACTCCTATGGCCCATGGAAGTTGACGCATCCTTTGTGCGTCTTGATACTTGAAAGGATGAAAAAATACTGCATTATACTGCAAAAGTTATTGAACATGTAATGATAAACGGTCCGGTGTCATGTCAAATTTGGGCACCTACGAAATCTGGTCTCTTTTACCTTATATGGACTCTTACCCTCACACGTGACCTGTCACTCTCTTCGTTATCTATACCTACGCATGCGAAATACGACCAATGCCTCCGTATTTCGCAGCGTCAAAAAATTAATTTATTATTAACAGAATACAAGTTCAAGCTGAGGCCTACGTGCGTAAACGCCATTGATGCTGCGAGATTCGATTCGTAATACTGATTGTGACTACCGTAATTTTATGATGATAAAATCATGGATTCCTCGGTCTTTGGCACCGAAACCAAAACGCCGACCCTGGTGGGAATCGAACCGAACTCGAGGATGACAAGGAATGTCTCGGAAAACCCATCAATAATTTTCCACCTGCATCTAATAAAAGTACTATATAAGAACTTCAAGTAGTTAACCTTTTCAAATAAACCACAAAAAAGGGAAAGTGACTATGGCGCATAATCATTTTTAAAAGTTGAACAAAGACATTGACTGGAGCGGGGTTTGAACCTGCAACCTTCATATTACCGTTCCGGTGTCAGTGAAGCTACGGCCCCAGGATTAGCGTTCCGAATTGCAAGGTTCAAATCCCGCTCCAGTCAATTTCTTTGTTCAACTTTTAAAATATTGTTAACACACCTCTCAGATTTGAAGCAGTAAATGTAGCCTGGTTTGACGAAAACATTACCCTGTGAACGCAAAATAAAAAAAAAGAAACCGATGTTATCATTAATTTTCCATTTTTTTAATGACTCCTTGCTTGACTTCCACGAGAATAATCACCGCGTCGCCACACTTGGGTTGCAACCCTTTCCGCGAGCGCGCCACTCCGTAACCCATTTTCTGTCTTCTGCTGTGACGGCCCACGCGCCAACCGCAACGCCCCAGCGCTGCCCTACAGATAAAGCTAGCCTGTCAATTAACCGTGCCCCAAGCTATATAGCTAGGCTAGCTCTTCCCCGCCAAAATTGGCATACAGATGATGGATTCATGCGCATGCCGGGCATTTTGCCCGTGACGGTAATTGTCCCCACTCCGTCGTCATTAAAACGCCATTTTATTTTTTTGGCTCAGACCATGTTCAGACCGAACCTTAATGGTGGCTGCCTCGCCGCGGTCAAGTGGGGTGAAAAGTTTGTCCTTTACAATCATAAATTAGCTTTGCTTTGAATTTTCATACTTTTTTCCCCAAAGTGTACAAGCTGATTCAACTTTTGTTATACCAGAGGGAAACTTTATTACGAATTCAGGGGCCGATCCAGATAGGCAATCTGACAAGGAGGGAGGCATTTGTTTTCTTTTACTGAAGAAAGTCTTCAAATGATGAATACCCACTGCCTCAATCCTTCAAAAGCCTCCGACAGTCCTGCCTCTCAAAATGCATTCATTCTCAATCCTCCAAAATCCTCCTGCTCGCCAAACACCATCCATCCTCAATCCTCCAAAATCAACCGGTTCTTAATGTGCATTCATCCTCAATCCTTCACATTCCTCCAAAATTGTATTTTGCATTCATTCTCAATCCTCCAAAATCCTCTAAAACTGCCCGGAGGACTTTGGAGGATTGAGGAGGGTCAGGTCATCTACCAGTCAGCAGTTTGGAACTAATATTTTTGCAGACATTGGGGGAGGGGTTAAAGAGATGTGGGGGGGGGGGGCTCGTCATGCAAATCAGTCACCCCCTTCTGGATCCGCTTATTGCATTCACTGAAGAAAATACAAGAAGTTTCACATAAAAGCACGTGTGTTTGCTGCAGACGAAAATAATCTTGAGGCTTATCTTGAAATTAAGTAGCGTTTGAAGACAAAATATCAAAATTCCTTGGCCATTTTGTCAAAAAAAATATAGCTTGACCTTGATGCGAATCAAGATATGAAATTAAATGATAGATGAACTTGAGCTAAAGCCAGCCGGCCCATGAGAACCAGTTGACATGTTGATGAATAGATATTAATGATGTCATTGTGCAAGGACCCAATCCTGGCAGTATTTAGGTGATGTATGGACGGTGCATTTGAGCCTACGGGCTCACACCGCCTCGGGCGAGTTTTTCGTGACGTCACAGTAGGTACAGTTTTTTTGGGTTGACATATTGTCAGAGTTAAAACTTTGACTGGTCTGAAGCTGCTCTACCAGAAGAAAGGCTGGTGACACGTAGGTCCGTTGTGGTAGGCCTGCTTGCCACACAAATTGCCAAACAAATGACTTGCTCATAAAAAGCTTGTAAAAAGCCGGTATCCAGATAAAGTTTATTGTCTAATTTGTAGTACTTAAAGTTAAACAAGTTTTCGGCTGGTGTAATTTTTTATTGCGTAATCTTGCTAAAAATTATCCACTGCTCAGAATCTTAGTGGTTAGAGTTTTGGTTTAGAAAAACCAAACAGTTACCATTAAACAATTCCCGAGTCTCAGCACTGCTTCTCTTTTAAAGAACAGACCATATAGATTGAGCTATACTGTACAGTTGACTCTCTTAACCCTCCCCCCCCCAGGCTTACTTTGGGGTAAAGTACCACATAATACAAAGTACTACAAAAAATATATGCAGTACCCAAATAGTAAAAAAACCCGAGTGCCAGTTGTGCCCACTCACATGTGTATGCTGAAGTACTGCATACTACAGATTACTAGTAGTAGTATTTTGTAGCTTTAGGTGAGGTTTAGAGTTAATATAAACACCGTTAATACAAATTCTGGTCATAGCAAACATTAAGCCTTGGTCCGAACTGTGCATTTGTGTGAACAGTGAATAGGAACGGCACTTTAAATACAAAATGCTGACATAACATTTTGGCTAAGTCTGGCTGAGTTTGTATTAACGAGAGTCGACTGTATATTCATTACAAACTTGAACATTCAAAGTGATGTGCTGTATTTTGTAATAGTTCCCAGTGGGTTTGAAGTATTCAAGTTTCTTTCGTTTTTCGTGATTATTGTAGAGCATGATATCTTTGATGTTGAAGTGTAGGATGCCGATCTCCAAACACTTCTTTTAAGTATCAACTATTCTTCTGATTGGAAATTGTTGCTCAAATGCGGACACTTTTCGCATTAAAAGAACTCGCTTTTTTACCATTGGTAAAACTTTATAGGCCAACACCCGATCATACACTGCCTGCCTCCGTCGGCCGATGCCGCGGTGCCTGCTGCAAAACCTTTTGATGCGCCTGGCGGTTCACAAGCGCCGCTAATTTGAAGCATTACCCGGCGGCAAGTCGGCAGGGTCCCTTTTTGTACCCTTGGCTTCTACCTGTTAATTCCTGAAACTGTAAACGCCGCGTTTGCGAACAAGTTGAAACCCGAGAAAGATCGGTCTCCTAGACTGACTACTACACGGAAACACTGAAATCGACCCGCTAGATTCTTGATTGGAAATAGACGTCCCTAGAGTTCGCAGGTATTTTTATCCGGGCTTTGTGAAATTGTCAGTTTTATTTTTCTCTCCTTGCTCTAAAAGCACCGCGTAGATTTTTTTTTATTATTTGCCCAATTCGGAAAATAGGTAACCTTAACCCACAGGAGCTGATGTGTGTCTGTGGGACTGAATTGCAAAGGGTTGGTCATTACGTAAATTGCCGGGATGAATGGTTTTGGGTGGAAACAAAAACCTTGAGCGGTGATCTATTGGCGGTTTGGCGGTTCGCAAAAGCACATCGGTCCGATGAAAGAAATGTGAATTAAAAGACCAGCGTTTTACACGTGTATTTATATCGGAATAAACAAAAGTTTGGTGTTTTCAAAGTTCTATCCTTGGTTTCATAAAGATTATCAAGTGCCGCCATTTTTTTTTAAATAATAGACCTTGTGAGGTGGATAACTCTAAATGAGAGGTAAATATCTGAGAACCAAAGAGATATATCCGGTTCTCATAACCATATTCTCTTGGAGAGTGACTCCATACTTTATGATCTGGAATTTTTCCGATTTTGCCCGAGTCGGAAGAAATGATCGTAATAACCTATCCACCAAATCAATTCAATTCTATATTAGTTAAGCATATATACGTTTTTGGTGGTCTAGAGGCTCTGTAAAGAGCCTTAAGTCCTCTCTGTACCTATCAGACTCACTATACTGTCACCTCTGAATTTAAGCCGTACCTTGGCCCCCAAAAATATCTTTAAGCTGGTCCCAGAAGGCCAGCCTACACAGTCCGCTTTGTACCTATCTCACTATCAGACTCATTGACCGACTGTCACTTTCGAATTAGACTTGCATAAGCTCTACCTTGAGTCTTGACCAAAACAAATTACTCAGATGACTATACCTGGACCGTCAGACCAATTCGGCCTGTAGGATTTACCGCGGCTGTTTAGTTTAATTTATTCAGATAAAACATACCATGCACAAAGAATGAAATAAGGTAAAACAAAACAAAGGCGAACAACAATTGGTTTCATTTGGGATATCCCATAATAAAAACTACACAGGCGTGCCCATTGCTAATAGATTTAGGTTTCGTTTTGGTGCGTAATTATTCAATTTGCACCATGCATCCATCATTTACGCACTGTACTGTCTCTGTAGACAAGTAATTGCAACAAAACCATTCCAGAGCGTGCATACCGGAGAAAAGCTCTGTCGATCGGTAGGACATCGCGGCGCGGTGCTGCTTGCCTCAGCGGGTCGGCCGGCCGACCCTCGCGGCGGCCTGACAGGCCTCGTACACGCTCCACCTGTCATGGATTCTCGGAGTCCTCTGCTTTCGTAATTTAGGATAACGAAGGTTGAGATAACAGTTTCCACACTTTCACAATCGAGACAACGTCGAAATAAGCAAATGATCTTTATCAATATACTTGTTTTCATGACAAAATTATGCTCGTACATCAGATTTTCCAGACAAAACGAAAATTACCCTCGACAACAGTGATGGAAAAATAATTTCAAGTCACATTCCTCTACTAGTCCTTATGAAAAAACAAAAATGCCCAACAATTGTTCATTCTGAGATATCTGTTTTTGAGGGAGGAGTAGATTTGAAAGTTTTGATGAGGGATCATTTATAAGATGACCCCAAACGTTGTCAAAACCAAAACCAAACCAAACTCCTCTGTTCTGGGGCAAAATAGCTTACTTAACATAATTTGTGAAGGTTCTTATTTGTCATTCATGCAAACAGGGAGCCAACATTTACCTCATTTTCTACTGTTAAGCATTCTTAATGTTCACAGTGCGACCTGGTCATTCAAGGTTGGAAACTTGAAAGAGAGGCTGCTAATAACGTATCTATAGATGTTCACCTGATAGCTTATCAACACTATTCGGGAAAGTCTTTGTTTTGCATGCCGGCCTCATTTCCAACATGGCGAGTCCGCGCAAATTAATACGCAAAAGGAATGCAATTTGGCAATCGTCTGTTCCTTCATCCGTTCTATCGCATCAAGAAAAAAAAGACTGTGCATTTGGCTAGAACCCATTCATCACAGAGTGCATTGCCACTTAGTTAATTTTGCACCCATTTTTTGGCACTCAGATGCCCATATTTCTAGGCTTCACTTCTCACATCTTGCGTGCCAACTCCGTGAAACTCGATCTACCCATAGTGCCCCCGCCGTTGACTGTCTCGTACGCTTGAGTTAACGCATCGCACCGAAACGACCGAGAATTTATTGTCTACCACGTTTATAATGCTCTGATTGGGGACAGGATGGTATATTATACACCTGATGGCTAGCAGTACAGAGCAGAAAAATCTTTAAATTTGTATGTTTTGTTTCAAAGAAAAAATAATGCTTTATTCCGAATTCGGGCGTCTGCAACCCTCTGAAAAGGGCTTTCATTTTCCCGCACAAACGAGCAAGCCGTACGAAAGCCGAATTATTATCTGGCAGCCAATATTTCGAGTTTTGGGGGCCAACTTATTCAATAACTAAACGTTGGTGGATTGTTTTCGTTCGAAATCTCATTCAAACATGAATACCTTTTATATTGCAAGGAAAAAAAGCAATTGCAAAAACAATCTATTTTTAGACGAAACTGGAAAATAGTACGGAGAATACATGTACATCTTCAACATGAAATTACAATCCCAACCCCTCGTTGCTATTTGCTATTGGTTTGGACTGTTGTGTCTGTGACTCAGTAAAACACCTTTCGTTTTGTGCCTATATAAATTATACGAACCATAAATACGAATTAAAATAAGAATTTGCACATCCCTGTAAGTTTAAAAGAATGAATGTAATTGATTACAATAAAAAGAAAAACTTCATGAGTTGAGGAAAAAAAGCAGTTTGGAAAAGTGACGAACATGATGCAAGTTTTCCAGATCGAGATGCTTGGAAAGTTGCACTACTTCCACTGCTTGCACTACGTTTCACCAAAGAAACCTTTGTGTCTTAAAAAAAAAAAAAAACCACAACAGCCAAAAACAACAACAACAACAACTGGGCGTCGAGATAGCGCAAGTAAATGTCAGCATTGTGGTGTATGTACATAAGACTTCTGTCTTTATAGACTGTCTACAGAATCTAGAAGCATTTCATGTTTATTGTAGCAGAAACCATTGCGAGAAAATGCACTTTGCAGCGACGGTTGACAAGTTTAGCAGTTTGCGATTAGACTAGGGTTAAATGTCGTAGACCGTGACTTCGGCTCACCGACACAATACAAAGATATAAATCCGGGTCCCCACATGTGTTCCCAAACTTTGGTCACGTTTGTCTTTTGTTCTTTCGAATTAAATTGTATTTTTGAAAACACGAGCCATTGTTTAAATCTGTTCTACTTGCGGTGAAAATATTGTGACTACAGAAATCTCAAACATGTTTATATAGTTGGTGCTGTCTTGTATTCCAAGCCACGACACTGTTGGAAACTTATACTTTCTCCTTCGACCGTAATGAGTTATGCGTATATACTCTTTTATATTGTTTTGCAAATGCTATTGAATTCTCTCACGTAATTGCTTTGTATTAAGGTGGTCCTTTGAAAACAAAATACATTCTGTATCTTAGCCATTTTTGCATGGAAGAGAAGTCTTTTTGATTTTATCTGATAACAGTTATACATGTAGAGCACAAACAGAGCTGTTGGTTTCGTTTCAGAAACCAATGATATTTCTTTCGCTCTTTGGACATAAATTTAACAAGCAAAGAAACTAAACTGAGGAACAGAAATCTCTATCACACTCCAATTAAAAAAAACACGTGCACGTTTATAAACGAGTAAACAAGTCGGGACTGTCGTTAAGAAAATATAACACAAAGTAAACCCTAAGTTACTCCCTAGAGGGTAAACACAATCGTATAGAATCGGAGGATTCAGGACTGTAGCCCTATATAGTATTATTCCATATAGTTGCAGTCCATACCAGTTCTAAAGCTAATTACTGCAAAATTTACAACCGTCATTTTGAAATTCGATCCTGACTTTTTCTCATCATCAAATCTGAAAATCAGCATCAACACAATCCTTTCATTAAAATAAGCCCAGTTTCCATGGCAACATGCATCTTGTTCATTCCTTAATAACCCGACGTAATTTTCTTTTGAAATTCCACAAATAACACGTGCGCGGGATTAATAATAAGAAAGCTCAGGGAATGCTGTTCATTTAGCCTTTTTTTGTGGCGTCTTCTCTTGTTCCCCTGGTCTGGTTTATGTACGTAACGCACCTTGATCCATCAGCGGTCGTCTCATCAGAGTTTTACCGGGATGAGCTCTCGCTCTTAAATCATTACTAATACGGGATAATTAACCGCTAGCTTGTTCATTTGGGCCCGCTATTGTTGGTTTGTGTGGCGTCCCGTCCGTTTGACCGTGAAGAACAGGCCTGGGAATGATGAGTGAAAACGATCAGATCCACCCGTAAAATCCATCCCAGTGCGGGAGATGTGCATGGGATGAAAACGTCAACGACCGTTCCGTGCTTGTTGTTTTTACGAGTAAAGTGATTCGTACAGGTTTAATTTTTAAATATTTTAAAAGTTAAACCTGCGACCTCCGGATTGCCGTTAAGGTGCTCTACCCACTGAGCTATCTAGCTAAAATCATTTAAACTAGCATTCAAATCCTAACGTAAAGTACTTTTAAGAAAAATTAAGTCAGTAAGAATCTACGTCCCATTCGCGTACACCTGTACTACATTTGACCTACCTCCTAGTACTAGCGTCTATAAAAGCAGTGAGTTGACATTTTCATTTACCTCCAGGACAATTGTTAAAATCATTACTAAACAAACAATTTAATTTTTAATACTTTTAATGACCTAAATTTGTTTTGTCTTCTTTCAACCACACAGCATCTTCGTCATCAGCGCTAGAAGCAGCAGACACAAGCAAAGATCTCTACTGGTTTTGAGCGCGGACTCTCCGTGCGTCACAGGCGATCGCAGACAATCGCCGACGATCGCAGACTACGGGCGTTACGGTCGCAGACAATCGCCGACGATCTCAGACTACGTGCGTCGTCTGAAAATCCCAAAGGTACATAGATCTAATGCGGTGAGAAATATGGTTGAGACTTATATGTGCAGTGTAATGATGTTTTGGTTTTATTGGCCGGGACTATATATATTAATTTTTGGTAACACTAAAATATACTTCAGGAGATGTTCATCCAAGGAATAAGAAACTGCCATCGAGACAATAGAGCCTGAAAGTTAACCCGTGGTGGCGCGCTTCCGGACCCCTCGAATAGGAAACTTAGCGTGTAAAAGTCAGAGTTGTAAAATTATTTTTGGTTTTAAAGAAAATCACCCTCGGAAAAGACCTTTGGAAAATTGTTACTAGCATCTCAATTTATGGAAACTGAAAAATCGCATGACGTGAAAGAGAAATATCCTGCCGAAAAAATGAGCCTCTCACTTCCGAAAATCTGAAATATGTGTGGAAAAGTGGAACTCGGAGGACTCGTACAAAGATGAACATTTATGAAATAATTTTGTGGCGGTCATTGGGTAAAAACTGAAACGTATTAACGTAAATAGGAGACTAAAAATTTTTTGGGACACACAATTTGTTTTAATTAACTTGAAGGTCTCATTCGCATTTACAAACAATCTAAAATGACCGTTGATAAGAACTGTATTCAAACAAGCCCGACTAAATCTAGAATCCATCGTATGTAGGTACGTTAATCTTAGCGTCCTTATCATTTTCGTTCTCACGCAAGTACGCGATTTAAAAACGAACGTAATTGAACAAGGAGACCTAGGTTCGAAAATCCGGCTGTGAAAGGTCGTGAGTAAAATTGGTTTTTACCCACCTCCAACCGATTTCTCATGATTTTTTTCTTATGGAATGCCCAGGTTAAACTCCAACATGAATGTTTCTTGGGGTGATTACGGTTAGAAATCATTCTGTCAAAAATAATTGCAAGAAAACGGGCAACCCCGTGTAAAATGCCCATAGAATGGGTCCGGAAGCTCAAAGACAAAACGGCGTAATTTTGAGGCTCTATTTCTTCAAAGAGGAAACAAAACATTGGGTGCAACCTTTGCGTTGTATAATTTCCCACTGCCCTTTCAAAACTAAATCATTATTTCTTGTGCAAGTTGCACTTGAAAAAAAAAGAAGACTTTTTCAGCGCACGAAGTGTTACAATTGCCAATGAAAATGTTACCATCTTTAAAAAAGGTCATATAGTTTCATTATCATAAAACATGCTTGTTGTAAAACCAAAGTGTATTGTACAGTATATATGTTTGTATTTTTGAAGTTTTTGTACGAGAAAATTACGAGGATATTTTTTTTTCCGGTTTTTGTGTGAATTTGTTATCCACATAATGTAGACAGTAGGTCGACATGGTCGAACCGTTCTACCTTTTTTCAAACCGGGAATTTTTCAGATGCTATGCTCATTTTCTACAAGAATTATGGGGAAAACATCTGCAAGATGAATACCTGCTCTGTTACGCGAAAAGAAAAACAAATTGAACATGTATTCCTTGTTTTTGGTGTCAATGTTTTGGTTAAAAGTCTTAGGGTTACCCCTAAAAAGAATTCAAACGAACATGTGTTGAATTGCTTATTGAAGAAGTTGGAACTGTCTCCCTTTTCAACACGGTTGCCTCAATTTTATCACATTTGTCGGCGGGCACTTTTTTGGCTTTTGTCGGCGCATCAAAATATCGCACGACGTGCATTCCGTTCATTCAGTCCTTGGGTTAATATAGAAAGTCGGATATTTATTGTTTCTTTGAGTGTTTTAGAGGGAATCTTAAAAATGTTATGAAGGGGATTTGGTGATTGAAATGGAGCAAACAGATATAGAAGATTGACAGATGATGCAAGAATTAAATCCCAATATATGTTTTTCTTAAATGCGAAAAACCAGGGTTTGTGTTGTGATCGGCCGACAGTTTTGCTTTCCCCGCAAAATGTTTTTTTTTCAAATAACTATTTATCACCGATTTTGTGCTTGACAGAAGATTAATCATGGAAGTATTGACCTAAAATCATAACTTATTTAAATTAAATCCAAATATTGGCAAAGTGGTCACTTATTTATAAATTTGTTTATAATAATATGGTACTAATTATTTAAGACAATAGAAGTATACGACTTTGTGTAAACCAGTGCTGGTCTATTTGTTTTTAAAGCAGAGAAAAATGGCATATCTATTTAACTTAAGAAATACAATCATTGGTTTCAGATGGCCAAAAAACTGCGCTGATCTGCTTAATTGAACACGAGAGATAATATATGTAAAATTTGGATTTTCTTTGGGGCAATATTATATTCTTATTTCGGTCGTTGTAAAGTGTATATAAATCCATGGAGTTTAGGCCTACGCGTGTATCTTCCCTTGTCCGTGTCAAAACTGTGTTATATACGTTTAACAGTCGGTGAATGAGAGATATTGAAAAGGTATTTTAACGATGTTTTAAGATGTTGGGTTTTGACATGGTAATTTTGTACAGTGTTATACCGCCCGCAATGTTTTATCAAAAAAGTTTTTGAGCAAGTTTTTTTCACAATATTATATTGAACCTGGTTTCAAAATGTTGATGGTGTTTGCGTTAAAATGTCATATTGCGATTTGTTATTAACATTGTTGGTTTTCTATACCCGAAGTAGGGTTCAAAACTGACAACGCTATTCAGTATGGAAATTTGTCCTATTTATTTGACATACAATTATTTCTCTTGACAAAAGATATCTGTTGATAGGTTAAAAGAAAAACATATTGGTAAATGGACAAGTTACTTCATCCATGTTAAAGGTATGATGTGTTTGATTATCTTAACTCGAATAAGTATCCTATCTCTTGCATTTATTTATATTGTACATTAAGACATATAAAAATTAGGTAAATAATAATTTGGCCATTATTAGATACTTTGAAAACTCCCACCCATAATCTTTATATTTGATACCCAACCCGTCTTATAAATCATATATATATTATCCAACCAATTTTAAGACAAGCGTTTAGTTACCAAAGAGTAATATATCATTTATCTTGACAAACATGCCTTAATTTCCCCTTATGACATCTTCAGAGATATACAATGTTTTCACGGATATAAAAGTATCCGTTTCCTGTGTACTTTGATGAAAAAAATTCCAAGTGGGAATTTATCAATAAAACATCAAAGAATACGCACCTAAAAGACAATTGTTTTCAACATTGATGTAGTGTCCTCTTGTTTGTTATCTTTACTGTCTTGATTATCCGGTAGCCTAGCGGTAAGGCACGGAACTCCAGTTCTCGAGACCCGAGTTAGAGCCCGAGGGCGTTTTTTATTTTTATTTCTTTAGCCGATTCTAAGGGTTAAATAAACCCCTTGCATTTTTTTCAATTTTGGCCAAAAAATGAAATTGCATGAAACTTGCTAGCATGATGCCTGAGGGCCCTTAGAACACATTCCCCAGCTTTCTCTTCCCAAATGTGCCATTCAAAGGAAATATGGCATGCAAAATATTGTAAATTAAATTCTATTTTTTTTTAAATATTTCTCCATGAATCCTTTCTACTTGCCCAAATCTCTTCAATAATCACTTTTCCAGTATGAAAGTATGTTTATTATGCCTCCTCAAGTGTTTCTGAGTTGTTTCCTGAAAAGTCGATTTTTGACCCAAATTTGCAAAAAAAGTAAGGCTAACCTCTTGCATTTTTTTCAATTTTGGCCAAAAAATGAAATTGCATGAAACTTGCTAGGATGATGCCTGAGGGCCCAAAGAACACATTCCCCAGCTTTCTCTTGCCAAATGTGCCATTCAAAGAAAATATGGCATGCAAAATATTGTAAATTTAATTTTAATTTATTTTAAATATTTCTCCATAAATCCTTTCTACTTGCCCAAATCTCTTCAATAATCACTTTTCCAGTATGAAAGTATGTTTATTATGCCTCCTAAAGTGTTTTTGAGTTGTTTCCTGAAAAGTCGATTTTTGACCCAAATTTGCAAAAAAAGTAAGGCTAACCCCTTGCATTTTTTTTCAATTTTGGCCAAAAAATGAAATTGCATGAAACTTTCTAGGATGATGCCTGAGGGCCCTTAGAACACATTCCCCAGCTTTCTCTTCCCAAATGTGCCATTCAAAGGAAATATGGCATGCAAAATATTGTAAATTAATTTTTTTTATTTTTTATTATTTCTCCATAAATCATTTCTACTTGCCCAAATCTCTTCAATAATCACTTTTCCAGTATGAAAGTCAGTTTATTATGCCTCCTAAAGCGTTTCTGAGTTATTTTTGGAAAAGTCGATTTTTGACCCAAATTTGACAAAAAAGTAAGGCTAACCCCTTGCATTTTTTTTCAATTTTGGCCAAAAAATGAAATTGCATGAAACTTTCTAGGATGATGTCTGAGGGCCCTTAGAACACATTCCCCAGCTTTCTCTTGCCAAATGTGCCATTCAAAGGAAATATGGCATGCAAAATATTGTAAATTATTTTTTTTTATTTTTTTATTATTTCTCCATAAATCCTTTCTACTTGCCCAAATCTCTTCAATAATCATTTTTCCAGTATGAAAGTATGTTTATTATGCCTCCTAAAGCGTTTCTGAGTTGTTTCTTGAAAAGTCGATTTTTGACCCAAATTTGACAAAAAAGTAAGGCTAACCCCTTGCATTTTTTTCAATTTTGGCCAAAAAATGAAATTGCATGAAACTTGCTAGGATGATGCCTGAGGGCCCTTAGAACACATTCCCCAGCTTTCTCTTGCCAAATGTGCCATTCAAAGAAAATATGGCATGCAAAATATTGTAAATTTAATTTTAATTTATTTTAAATATTTCTCCATCAATCCTTTCTACTTGCCCAAATCTCTTCAATAATCACTTTTCCAGTATGAAAGTATGTTTATTATGCCTCCTAAAGTGTTTCTGAGTTGTTTCCTGAAAAGTCGATTTTTGACCCAAATTTGCAAAAAAAGTAAGGCTAACCCCTTGCATTTTTTTCAGTTTTGGCCAAAAAATGAAATTGCATGAAACTTGCTAGGATGATGCCTAAGGGCCCTTAAAACACATTCCCCAGCTTTCTCTTCCAAAATGTGCCATTCAAAGAAAATATGGCATGCAAAATATTGTAAATTTAATTTTAATTTATTTTAAATATTTCTCCATAAATCCTTTCTACTTGCCCAAATCTCTTCAATAATCACTTTTCCAGTATGAAAGTATGTTTATTATGCCTCCTCAAGTGTTTTTGAGTTGTTTCCTGAAAAATCGATTTTTGACCCAAATTTGCAAAAAAAGTAAGGCAAACCCCTTGCATTTTTTTTCAATTTTGGCCAAAAAATGAAATTGCATGAAACTAGCTAGGATGATGCCTGAGGGCCCTTAGAACACATTCCCCAGCTTTCTCTTGCCAAATGAGCCATTCAAAGGAAATATGGCATGCAAAATATTGTAAATTAGATTTTAATTTATTTTAAATATTTCTCCATAAATCCTTTCTACTTGCCCAAATCTCTTCAATAATCACTTTTCCAGTAGGAAAGTATGTTTATTATGCCTCCTAAAGCGTTTCTGAGTTGTTTCTTGAAAAGTCGATTTTTGACCCAAATTTGACAAAAAAGTAAGGCTAACCCCTTGCATTTTTTTGCAATTTTGGCCAAAAAATGAAATTGCATGAAACTTGCTAGGATGATGCCTGTGGGCCCTAAGAACACATTCCCCAGCTTTCTCTTGCCAAATGTGCCATTCAAAGAAAATATGGCATGCAAAATATTGTAAATTTAATTTTAATTTATTTTAAATATTTCTCCATAAATCCTTTCTACTTGCCCAAATCTCTTCAATAATCACCTTTCCAGGCTGAAAGTATGTTTATTATGCCTCCTCAAGTGTTTTTGAGTTGTTTCCTGAAAAGTCGATTTTTGACCCAAATTTGCAAAAAAAGTAAGGCTAACCCCTTGCATTTTTTTCAATTTTGGCCAAAAAATGAAATTGCATGAAACTTGCTTGGATGATGCCTGAGGGCCCTTAGAACACATTCCCCAGCTTTCTCTTCCAAAATGTGCAATTCAAAGGAAATATGGCATGCAAAATATTGTAAATTATTTTTTTTTATTTTTTATTATTTCTCCATCAATCATTTCTACTTGCCCAAATCTCTTCAATAATCACTTTTCCAGTATGAAAGTCAGTTTATTATGCCTCCTAAAGCGTTTCTGAGTTATTTTTGGAAAAGTCGATTTTTGACCCAAATTTGACAAAAAAGTAAGGCTAACCCCTTGAATTTTTTTTCAATTTTGGCCAAAAAATGAAATTGCATGAAACTTTCTAGGATGATGCCTGAGGGCCCTTAGAACACATTCCCCAGCTTTCTCTTGCCAAATGTGCCATTCAAAGGAAATATGGCATGCAAAATATTGTAAATAATTTTTTTTAATTTTTTTAAATATTTCTCCATAAATCCTTTCTACTTGCCCAAATCTCTTCAATAATCACTTTTCCAGTAGGAAAGTATGTTTATTATGCCTCCTAAAGCGTTTCTGAGTTGTTTTTTGAAAAGTCAATTTTTGACCCAAATTTGACAAAAAAGTAAGGCTAACCCCTTGAATTTTTTTTCAATTTTGGCCAAAAAATGAAATTGCATGAAGCTTGCTAGGACGATGCCTGAGGGCCCAAAGAACACATTCCCCAGCTTTCTCTTGCCAAATGTGCCATTCAAAGGAAATATGGCGTGCAAAATATTGTAAATTAATTTTTTTTATTTTTTATTATTTCTCCATAAATCATTTCTACTTGCCCAAATCTCTTCAATAATCACTTTTCCATTATGAAAGTCAGTTTATTATGCCTCCTCAAGCGTTTCTGAGTTATTTTTGGAAAAGTCGATTTTTGACCCAAATTTGACAAAAAAGTAGGGCTAACCCCTTGCATTTTTTTTCAATTTTGGCCAAAAAATGAAATTGCATGAAACTTTCTAGGATGATGCCTGAGGGCCCTTAGAACACATTCCCCAGCTTTCTCTTGCCAAATGTGCCATTCAAAGGAAAAATGGCATGCAAAATATTGTAAATTATTTTTGTTTATTTTTTATTATTTCTCCATAAATCCTTTCTACTTGCCCAAATCTCTTCAATAATCACTTTTCCAGTATGAAAGTATGTTTATTATGCCTCCTAAAGCGTTTCTGAGTTGTTTCTTGAAAAGTCGATTTTTGACCCAAATTTGACAAAAAAGTAAGGCTAACCCCTTGCATTTTTTTCAATTTTGGCCAAAAAATGAAATTGCATGAAACTTGCTAGGATGATGCCTGAGGGCCCTTAGAACACATTCCCCAGCTTTCTCTTGCCAAATGTGCCATTTAAAGAAAATATGGCATGCAAAATATTGTAAATTTAATTTTAATTAATTTTAAATATTTCTTCATAAATCCTTTCTACTTGCCCAAATCTCTTCAATAATCACTTTTCCAGTATAAAAGTATGTTTATTATGCCTCCTCAAGTGTTTCTGAGTTGTTTCCTGAAAAGTCGATTTTTGACCCAAATTTGCAAAAACAGTAAGGCTAACCCCTTGCATTTTTTTCAATTTTGGCCAAAAAATGAAATTGCATGAAACTTGCTAGGATGATGCCTGAGGGCCCTTAGAACACATTCCCCAGCTTTCTCTTGCCAAATGAGCCATTCAAAGGAAATATGGCATGCAAAATATTGTAAATTAGATTTTAATTTATTTTAAATATTTCTCCATAAATCCTTTCTACTTGCCCAAATCTCTTCAATAATCACTTTTCCAGTAGGAAAGTATGTTTATTATGCCTCCTAAAGCGTTTCTGAGTTGTTTTTTGAAAAGTCAATTTTTGACCCAAATTTGACAAAAAAGTAAGGCTTACCCCTTGAATTTTTTTTCAATTTTGGCCAAAAAATGAAATTGCATGAAAGTTGCAAGGACGATGCCTGAGGGCCCAAAGAACATATTCCCCAGCTTTCTCTTGCCAAATGTGCCATTCAAAGGAAATATGGCATGCAAAATATTGTAAATTAATTTTTTTTATTTTTTATTATTTCTCCATAAATCATTTGTACTTGCCCAAATCACTTCAATAATCACTTTTCCATTATGAAAGTCAGTTTATTATGCCTCCTAAAGCGTTTCTGAGTTATTTTTGGAAAAGTCGATTTTTGACCCAAATTTGACAAAAAAGTAAGGCTAAC